GTGTGTGTGTGTGTCTGTGTGTGCACATGTGCTGGTCCGCATTCACCTTTCAGTGATACCTGCCCCTCCCCTCCTGTGTAAAATTGCCCCTCCCCCACAGCAGGCGGATGCTCTCTTAGGTTGGGGTCGGGATGACACTCTGTTTACTCTGTTTGCCTCATTTCAATGCTGCAAACCCACAGATTCCAAGGGAAGCTTACAGTCGCTGTTTTTCATCTTAAGTAAGGAAAGTTCTGGCTTTTTCCTTTTTTTCCATCAGTCATATGTTTGGTATTCATTTATTAATAATAAGCTGCCTGAATGCATACCAGTCATACCAGCATCATCATCATGGCGTCGATCTCCAGCTACACCAATTATTAGAGCTGCCGTCCACTTTAACTCAGTCTGCAATGACCAGGCACGTAATGTTTCCGTAAATCCAGAACATTCCACTAAGGCTGTGTGACACAAAGGTGACCCATAACCGCACTGCTTTGCGTCTTTATATGACGCCTCTTCTGGTTTCATCACGCGATTACCAGCATGCAGCATCTTTAATACCATTAATCTCTCTTCTCGTTGCCGTCACCATACGATCCATCATAAACCCAACGGGGTCCAATTTAGCGTCCCGCCCAGGGCCGCCCTCCCATGCACGGCAAGCCGGTGAATTTCCGGCCAATCCTGCTCCCAGTCACTGTGATGTCGGGCCTTCCCATGTGAACCCTAGATTGAAGGGTACTTTATTTTCCTGCTCTAGGGTCTGCAAGGAGCAGCCAAGGTAATCTGTCTCCAGCAGCTCTGTGGGGGGGTCGGGTGCCCTACATAACGTTGGCTTTCAGGTAAAATGGGTCCCGTCTTCCCCCGTTAGCCTGGATGGCCGGGATTTGGCTCTTTTTTTTAACCTCCCTCTTTTCCTCTCATTATCTGAAAGCATGTGAGCCTCATAGAAATGAAATGGGCCAATCACGTGTTCCGGCAGTACACACCTCCTGCCGCTAGACGTTATAGCACTAAATACACTCTAGTAATTGGTCGGCAGACTTTCGTTTTTATTTTTTTTCTTTGGCTCAGTGCGTTTTCTGATTTTCTTGGTTTCTCAAAAAAAAAATAAAGTTTTTTTTTCTGGCCAAACTCGAGCATCATTCTAAAAGACACTCATCTCTGAAACGTAATTCTAGTCAGGGGTAAAGGACTGGCGATAGGATTGTAGGGAGCAAACGGCCGGGTCATCATCTGCTGGGCGTGTCTGACACTCTTCCTAACCCACTTTGATGGTGTGGTTTATCGTAAATAAGCAGCAGAACAGTCAGCTCAAGACATAAAATATAATGGCGCTTAGCGTCTGTCCGCATCTCTTCCATCTGTCCACTTTTGTGCGCGTGGTCTTGCCGTCAGCCGCGATTGCGCGGTAATCGCATCGTAAACACTTCAGCAGCCGGGCCCGCCTTCACGCTCAAATTGCCCGTTAGCAGCCCCTCAGTCACGGTGACAGCGCGGTGGGTTCACCCCCGGCCGTGGTGATGGAGCGTGTCCGTTACTCCGCCTGCCAGACCCCGCCCCGCCCTGCCAGGCTGCTATGGTAACCAACCCAGCGGGCGCTGACGTCGGCCTTGTTGCTGGAAGGACCACCGCAGGGTCTGCTGGTCACACCGTGAAGAGCGATTTCACTCTGATTAGACTAAACACTAATTAGCACGGGGTTAACGAGCTACAGAGCAGTCGTTCATTTTCTGTTTCCATTCGTAAACCATCTCGGCATTGTTTAACGATGTCGCTGCAGCTGTAGGCTGATATCCGCAAGTCATTCTTTGATGTCTCATCTGTGTTTTTTACTATTATTTAATTTGACTATTGAATCTGAATATAACACTTTGATATAGTTGGTGGCAGAAGCCAAGCACAGCACCGTCTGTTGCACTTAAATGATGAAATTTCTCTTTATGAAAATGCCGTCATGATGATTTTTATGCACCGTGTTCTTTACCATGGTACTTTTATTGCTTAATCAGCACAGCGAAAGGCCCGTATGCTCCGTCGGACCTCTGTACGGGTGCTGTGGTGCCTTTGAGGACCACACAGATACACCTTCCCAACCAAGGTTGTCAGATTCAGGCACTTCAAGGGCTACATCAGCTCGCTCACACCCCTGAAGTCCACTGTGACTGCTGTCACTGCAGGAGGGGGTGCTGGACACTTTAATCTCCCCCGGTGACGGATCGGTTCTGCTTCCTCCCACAGACGGTTGCTCTCTGGATGCTGAGATGTCCCCCCTCCCTCCTCCCTCCCCCCTCCCTCTCCCCATTTGCATATATATGAAAACATGCCTGTTTATTTATGTGTCTATCAGTATGTATCCTGCATATGTGCAGTACACCCCCCAGGGATAATTGGGCTAATTTCCTTTAAATATCCTCAGGAATTCCCTCACGCTAAGACGCCGACCTGAAAGCCGTGTGGTCGTCCCGTAAGTCATGGTCTGTGCTTCGATGTCCAGAGACCTCCAGAAAAGACCATCTCTGATATTTCAAGGAAGAATGACGGAAATTGGGGCTAGGCTGTGTATCCTCTGGCTGTTTCCACTAATGCCATTCCCACTACACACCCAGGTAAAGTAGCCCCAGTGGAAATCCAGAGGCGCCGTTTGGGACGTGGTCCGTTTCTAGGGTATACGGGAGGAGGCTGTTTACCTTGCTGGTCATCGTTCCATTGTGATGGTGCAGCTCACAGTGCAGACTGATCGGCCCTCCCCAGCGAAGAAGGCGTGGTCAACAAGAGAATCACTTGGATGGATAGTCACCACAGCACCCCTGACAACATGGCGGCCTCAGTCATCCGGCTCGCCGGGACTGTCCTTACAGAATGTGGCCCTCTTTGCATGAGAAGTCTCTCCTGCGTTTTCATTTCGGGTCGCTCACTGATTGTTCACAGGTTGTTAGGAGCGCTGCACCACCACTGACCTGCCAGTAGGATGCAAACAGGCTTCCAGGACGTCACTGAGCTCAGAGATGGATGTGCTGAATTCATACTGACATTTAGCAATGGCGTTCACCACCACTTAAGCTACACATTTGCAAATGTAGTGACTATCTGTTGGCCACAGATAGTCACTACACTAAATTTTAAAAGAAACATGTTCCTTATTTAGGACCAGCTAGCTACCTACTATATTCTGACTGTACTGGCTAGATAATTATTTAGTTAGCCCCTGGGGGGGGTGTGCAAGGGCCCAAAAGTGATTTTTGACTGAGGCCCCAGAAACGACAATCCCTAACCCCGCACACATACTTTGGGAACATCAAGCACTCGCTTTGATGACCAAGGTAGTTGATGACAACAAAATGTCCTTGACATTATATTCTTTCAACATGCACATGAAAATGATCGCCATTCTGCTTATCATTGATATTCAGGCCCTAGGTCATCCTTCTTGAATAGTTCTTGACGTTTGCCACTCTGTTTTTACCAAGCTACAATGGTAATTTTTGGTTAGTAGGTTTTTTTTTAATCTTTGTGTAGTTTCTGCACAGTGTGGGGTGATGAATGTTCTTTGCTGGTCCTCTCTGCCCCCTTAAAGGTACGGCTGCTGTTCGTACGTTTAGCGGTAACATTACGTATTTTTCTCTCCTGCTGCAACGTGATCACTTATCACAGCGACACTTTGGACTGTTAAATGAGTAACAGACCTTCTGGGATTTCAGAAAGGAGATGGCATTCCATGCCGGCAGATTAGGGAGGCAGCGTGTTTACAACAGGACGCTGAAGGAACATTCATTCACCAGCAAATGTCACCCTTTTATAAAGAGTTTAATAAAGGGCAACATTATGTGGAAACGCTAACCAGTTACCCACAATGCACTTCCCCCTCAGTGAGTATGGCCCCTGACCCCCACTTCCTGTCCTTTATCTCCAGTCTATGTTTGATTTGGTGGCAGCAATCTCAACGTGCAGTTACTGAATAATTTATTTAGCCACAGCAAGGAAAGGCAAAGCATTGTGACAAGGACAGGTGCTCCCTGCACCAATTAAAACGGCGATTAAGCACCATGGAGATTCATCACGCCTAATCAGTTAGCAGCCGGGCCTGACACAGATCCGAGTAGCCTGCGTACCGTCCACCCTGCCATTGGGGGTGTCCCTGAAATGCAAACTCCACTCACACTCATAAATACTCTCTGCGGAATTGGCTCGTCAGCTGGGGGGTGGGGTGGAGGGGGGGTTTAGGTGACAGGTACATGGAAAAGGACGCCTCGTCCCTCAGGCCTCAGGCGATCTGCCTGAGGTAACCAACCCCATGGGGACAGCGAGATGGGGGCCCCCTCGGCCTGCCTCGCGCATGCCGTCCGCAGGAAACATGGTGTTATTCATTAGAACAACAATTAATTAGCTTGCCCTCCCGGGTGATGCATGTAGACACAGAAGGACAGAAAGCAGCACATGTCCTATTAGTGCGTGTCTTTGCAGGCTGGTAGCCGGCCCTGTTTCTCTAGATCTTTGCCTCCTGCCTGTCTCATGGATCCACAAACATCTGCCTCCAGAAGGAAGCGGTTGTCGTTTCGTGACCCAATTCTCCAGATTGCAGCTGGGTCATCTAATCTGCATTTGCAACATCCATAACCCCATCCCCCACCCACTCACTCACAGTAGGAGAGCAAGGGCGCCCCCTGTCTGTTAAGGAATGTCACTGATTATTTACCCAAGCACTGGGGAACAAATGGTGGCGATTCATTCTGAAGGATCTTGAAGATCTGTTGCGCCTTTAGGCAATTCTTCCAGCTTCAGGACAAATGGATCGGGCAGTCGCCATGACAAATCCCAGGGTTTTGCGTGTGAGTAAATGTGGGTGGGCATTTTTGTGGAAAGAGTGAAAATTTAAATAAAGAGCTCACAAGTGGCATTGGTGTTCAATTCCTCAACCTTTTCTGGCCCCAGCTGAGGTGTGAGCTGAGGACCCTTGCTCACATGACCCATGTTCACGTTGGCATCTGAAGTGACAGGAAGGGGACTGGCTCAGCCTGTGAGAGCCTGACCAAACTGGGATCCGGGCCGTGTGAGCCGGTGAGCTGCTCGTACTTCACCCCACAGCGTGGCTGTCTGTCCCTCACAGGTCAGGAGCCAGGAGCTGGCCAGCGCTTCCTCCACGTTTTCCTCGTGGATGGCAGAGCCACGCTGAGGCTGCGGTGCAGCAGGACGCTGCTGCTGACCCGGGTGGCGGCAGGACGCGTCTCCGGGGGCCGCCTCACGCCTGTCGTGGTTCGGTGAGTAACACGACTCAGGGTGACCGGGCGGGCGGCAGGACGCGTCTCCGGGAGCCGCCTCACGCCCGTCGTGGTTCGGTCAGTAACACGGCTCAGGGTGACCAGGTGGCCTCTGTAATAACATTATTCAGATGTTACTGCAACGTTTAGCCACATAAAACACACGGCAGCTTTATCACACCATAACACATTATTATATAATAATATGGTGTCATATATTTATATTATATAACTCCAAACACATTTTTATTGTTGCATGAGGTTGTTCATATGAATGACTGTCATGCTGTGTAGGTGTAGTGTGTGTGTGTGTGTGTGTGTATATATACACTCACCTAAAGGATTATTAGGAACACCATACTAATACAGTGTTTGACCCCCTTTCGCTTTCAGAACTGCCTTAATCCTACGTGGCATTGATTCAACAAGGTGCTGAAAGCATTCTTTAGAAATGTTGGCCCATATTGATAGGATAGCATCTTGCAGTTGATGGAGATTTGTGGGATGCACATCCAGGGCACGAAGCTCCCGTTCCACCACATCCCAAAGATGCTCTATTGGGTTGAGATCTGGTGACTGTGGGGGCCATTTTAGTACAGTGAACTCATTGTCATGTTCAAGAAACCAATTTGAAATGATTCGAGCTTTGTGACATGGTGCATTATCCTGCTGGAAGTAGCCATCAGAGGATGGGTACATGGTGGTCATAAAGGGATGGACATGGTCAGAAACAATGCTCAGGTAGGCCGTGGCATTTAAACGATGCCCAATTGGCACTAAGGGGACTAAAGTGTGCCAAGAAAACATCCCCCACACCATTACACCACCACCACCAGCCTGCACAGTGGTAACAAGGCATGATGGATCCATGTTCTCATTCTGTTTACGCCAAATTCTGACTCTACCATTTGAATGTCTCAACAGAAATCGAGACTCATCAGACCAGGCAACATTTTTCCAGTCTTCAACTGTCCAATTTTGGTGAGCTCGTGCAAATTGTAGCCTCTTTTTCCTATTTGTAGTGGAGATGAGTGGTACCCGGTGGGGTCTTCTGCTGTTGTAGCCCATCCGCCTCAAGGTTGTGCATGTTGTGGCTTCACGAATGCTTTGCTGCATACCTCGGTTGTAACGAGTGGTTATTTCAGTCAAAGTTGCTCTTCTATCAGCTTGAATCAGTCGGCCCATTCTCCTCTGACCTCTAGCATCAACAAGGCATTTTCGCCCACAGGACTGCCGCATACTGGATGTTTTTCCCTTTGCACACCATTCTTTGTAAACCCTAGAAATGGTTGTGCGTGAAAATCCCAGTAACTGAGCAGATTGTGAAATACTCAGACCGGCCCGTCTGGCACCAACAACCATGCCACGCTCAAAATTGCTTAAATCACCTTTCTTTCCCATTCTGACATTCAGTTTGGAGTTCAGGAGATTGTCTTGACCAGGACCACACCCCTAAATGCATTGAAGCAACTGCCATGTGATTGGTTGATTAGATAATTGCATTAATGAGAAATTGAACAGGTGTTCCTAATAATCCTTTAGGTGAGTGTATATAATGAACAAATTTTTGTTATACAATGAACACATTTATATTAATACATCATGTTCATTAAAACACACTTTCAAAATGTCTTACGAGTTTGCACACCAAAACTGTATATTCCAGAATGTATTTAATTTTTTTTCTTTTTAAATATGTACAGTGGTAGTGAGGAATGAGCACAAATAAGTAAATCTGTTATTTGTGTTATAGTGCATTATAAAAGCCGTGCTTTTCTCACTCTGTCTGTGTGTTACACTGTGGTCTTGGGAAGCATTACACCTGTATATGGATGCCATGACCATAAAGCTGACTTGACTTGATATATCTGCGCCCCACTGTCCCCACCTGCTCGGTATATATGCTCAGCATGGGTAGTCCCACTTTGACAGTGTGAAAACAGCATCGCTGACCGTGACCGTGACCATGACCATGACCGTGACCGTGACCGTGACCATGAGCGCCAGATGCAGATTCCTAAGCTGAGTTACCATTTTTCGTGTGATACTCACTTCTCCTGGTGTCATTGCTCATTAGGCAGTTTCACCTTGATAGCGCTGTATGTCTGCCCAGTGTCCCACTGTAACAGGAGACTCACTGAGAAATTCACAGCACTCCTTAAGGCTGCACTCATCACCCTCTAATGAGGGTGAGACACCATCACGGACCCCCGGCTCCCCTTTACACTCATGATTGACTAGTTTTCTGGCCCTTCAGCCATTTCAGCGGCATTGTTAGATGTACATAAACTTGTGTAAGAATTTTATTGTGCATTTTTATAAACATCTATCAGAGTTGTATTCATTCAGTTACAGTAGTTTCTTTCTCAGCTTAAGGCAATATTTTTGCCAGTTTTTTTCCCATATCTTTGAAAACATTGAAACCCTTGTCTGGTTGGCCGTATGGATGGATGGGTGAATGAGTGAAAGCCTGACTGTATCACGCTCTGGAAACAGCCTTTTGCAGCTATATAGAGCTGGAATTTCTGCATTGCACCTGTGTACCATTACACGTGATGAATTCCACAGCAATGACAGCATCACTTGAGTAACAGTTTCTGAGTATCACCCTTGAGGCTAACTAGTTAACATCTGATCTTAGAGCATCCACCTTGGTCATAAATTTAGAAATGTTCTTCGGTGGGGGGGGGGCATCATTTTTCACATGTGTCAGGAGAAAATGAGCTTGTTGTCAGGGGCTCCCAGAGGAGGTGCTGCCTGTCTCGTGAATTTCTCCAAAGAGCTAAATGGAAGCTAACCCAAGTGACATCTGTTAAATAACAGGCCCTCCCCATTACAGCTGAGGCCTGGGGGGCCTCCTGACTGAGGTTGGCACGGCCCTGGGGGGTTCGGCCTGGCCTGACCGTGGCCTACAACACAGTGGGCAGCGAGGAACATTCTGTAGCTGGGGAGGGACAGGTCATTCCAACATGGGGATGCGGGTGTCTGGCCGCTGGTGCCTTTACCTCCCTCAGCCAACAGCAGTCAGTCTATTATTTTCCCCATTATTTGTTGGTCTACTTTCTGTCTAAAATGATGAATCTATTGGCCACATAAACTGTCCCAGGGCTCGGGGAGAGAAGGCTGCGGCGGAACGACCCCCAGGACCGCGTCCCAGAGCTTTGATTTGGCCCGAGTTTTTGACTTTCATTTTTACTTCCCGCTTTGTAATGTCAAAGAGGCTCCAAGGACCTCTTACTTATCATAATTAACAGATGAGCATGGATGTGTAGGAGCAGAGTGGCCATGCGGGGGGTGGGGTGGGGGGGGGGGCTGGGAGGGCAGGGCCGCCACTCAGAATTCCTGGGACTGAATTCCCTGGTGTGGGACAAAATGAAGAGCAACCAGGGGCAGATTAACTAAGTAATCAGAGTGTGTGGGGTCGACCCGGGGTCGGTGTTTTCACTGTGACGCCCCTCTCGCAAGCCAGGCTGCCTATGACATGGTGACGACTGCCCCCCCGTGTTCTCCGCCTGGTGACTGGGCACATGGAGGGTGACACTGCAGGCAGAGTATTTAAATGAGTAGAGTGGGTTGGGTGGCGCCCCCACGGCACTGGCCACTCAGCCTTAGCAGTGCAGACGTTAACAGCCACTCACTGCCGGCTCCTCTGGTGTGCAGTATCTGTAAAGGCCCTGGATCACAAGCCCTGCAGAAAACCTGTGTGCATTACATGACAGGAGGCACCTGAGAAATGGCTTTAAATGGTTTATTTTGCCATTTCATGGGGGTGGGTTGGGGCCTTTGGGGTTTCTGCACCAAACATCTAGGGAAATTATACCTTTCTGCCTGATATATTAAAAAAACCACAATATTCTGTAATCTGAAAGCAGGGGCATACTGTAGGCTGCAGATAAGGGATTGAAATTAAAGATGTACATTAATTTGTGATATTACTAAAAGTTATAGGACTTTGAGGGCACACAATTAGCCCTGCCACCTACTTTGGTGGTTTGTTCCTCTGAATCTACGGTGCCCTCTTTGTCGGCCTGGGACTCGTTAGAAATGATTCCCAAAAATGACTCCCATCCGTTGAATGAGAGCCACAAAAGCCAGGGTCTGAGTCACAGACGCTGCTCAGTTAAGATCCCTTGGCGGCAGGGGAAACATTAAGATGTTATCTCTCTTTCACTGCCAAATTCCCAGTCTGCCTCTTCCCCGCTACCTCCGCTCGTCTAATGAGGTAATTAGCAGGCCCTGCCTTTCAGCTCCGACTGCCGTAGCGCGAGTGTTCTGCTGCAAAATGGATGTAAAACCCGCAAACACACGGTGGATCAGTGCAGAGCTGTCACTGTCGCAAGGGTAGGGCGCCTCCTATTGGAGCGTCCTGTGACAAGACCTCAGGACTCATATCAGGCCAGTATGGCCCTCAGTCTCCACCTCCTCCAGAATAACAGTAACAAACTTTCCCCAGATAGATATCATCAAGCTGCTCACTTGCGGTAGATTGTGATGGTGTTTTCAGCCAAGCGCCCTTTTGTTACCTGCTGAGTGTTTTCGCCAAGCTCGACGTGGTCGGTGCCTGAAATAAACGCCGCGCTCCATCTCCTGCTTCGAGAATGGCCGCCCTCATTGTCGCCACGGTGACCTGCTTCAAACTGTCGCTTTGCCTGCTGGGTCTTTACTTAGTGATCCAGAGGAAATGTGCAGGGTGATACAGTATCGGGGGGTCGGCTTCCCTCCCCGGCTGTGAAAGAATTTATAAAGAGAAATAAAAAAGAAAGAGCGGGACCATAGAGCTTCGGCCATGTGATTTATTACTTTCATTTAGAAAATGGGATTGTAAACTTGCTCATTTCGCCGCCCTGTAGGCCAGGCAGAGAGCCACTCCGTAATTACATAACAAGAAGTGCAGCAGAGGAGAGGTGTCAGATGGAAATTGGTTTGAATTGGCAGCCGCCCCAGTCTTGAGGACCACCCCATCATCCTGTCGTAACAGCCATCCTTCACAGTGAAATGGT